GCATTTTGTGGGATATATAAGACTAAACAAAGAATATAAGAGCTAAGCATTTGTATTTTACTATGCTCCATTCTTTACTATTTCTTTACACTTACGTATTACTAAATAATTATTAAATTTTTAGCAATCTGTATAATAATCATTTTATATAGATTATGATTCCGCTATCCACTACATTGACAAATCGATTTAACTGATAATAATTTTATTAATATTAATAGTAATAAATAAATTATAACACAATACTAATATAATTGGAAGGCACATAACAAAATGATTGCATGTACATCATTTCTATTTTTTCTGACTTCGGCGTAAATCCTTGCGTGACGTGAATATTGGATTATCCTAATTTGATTAATAAAAAATTCTGATATATTTAAAAGAAAAGAATTTAATTATGCTTATTATTCTTTCTTCAAGAATTTTGATTTATTCATTTCTGACGTATTGATTTAATCTGTTATAGATTTCCAATAAATGCGTTTTACTTAAAATATGCACCTCATATAATAACATTTGTATGTAAAAGATTATAATTGTTATCTATATTATACTTCATACATATTTATCATTTTTATTTCTTAATAAAACTTTGTAAACACATTTTATAGATTGTCATTTTACGTCTTATTTATAAACATTATTTGTAAATTTTTCGTGAACCGTACATTCCATTCCCTCCTATGAACAGCCATATATCCCATCTTGTTTCAAAAAGTTCTTTTTTTTAATAAAAAAATAATTTCGGATATTTTTAATTTCTAATTTATTAATATTTTAATTTCTAATATTTTTTTATAATAGTAGATAACAAAAAGTTTTTACTGGTTTTTACTGGTTAATTGGTTAGTTCATTTACCTTAAACATAGTAAATAATAAATTAAGGTTTTATTAGGTGCGGCATATATATCGGAGTTACCCTAATGCAATCAGATTTTTTTTTCATTAAAGAATTACTCTCTATAGAACCTGCATCACAGACCACATCCGCAATGCGGCAAAGCTATTTTATCACTTTTGCGCATTCGATTTTACGCGAGTTTTACGTGGTTGATTAATTTTAACTTCTATTTTCTTCCATAAATTCACTAATAATGAATAATTTAGCTTTTTATTTATATTAGGAAAATTTTTATTGTAATTATTAGAAGACAATTAAAATCAAAATTTTATCGATCTTTGAATTCATTATAAATATAAATAAACATTTTTGATACAAATATATTATTAATATGAAACATAAATATATTAGAAAATATACTATTATAATATTAGTATTACAGAATTGTATATAGAGAAGAGTTTTTGACTAAGTTGTACTAACGATCAAATCGTATCTTCATTGTAATTTCTGAATGAAGCATTTTTTTGAAGTGACAATACAGATGTGACGTTAGTAACATTACTTAAATATTGTCATTTTGTTTCGTCTTTGAGCGGTTCGTTTACGTATAACATTCAACATTGATTTTGTTAAATGTTTGATTGTTAAAAGTTTTCATGTAATTTATCCAAGGTATGATCACAAAGCGAGTAATTGAAGCTTAGTGTATTAATTAATATAGTAATAAATATAGTAATTGAAGCTAGTTATAGAATTAATTAGTATTTAAATTCTTTTTGAATGTAAAAATCAAAATCTTTGATAATTTAGTATTTAAACTCTTTTTAAGTACAGCATCAAATTAGCAATATTTTTTTTGGATTGCATTGCTGTTGACAAATTTATTAAAATATAGAAGAAGTTGAGTAAATCATATCTGTTCAGATCATATCTGTTAGTCTTCATATTACACCTATTTTTAAAATAAAAAACATATTAAGATTGAATAATATCTTATAATTACTAGTAATTTTGATATTCGTATAAGAAAAACTATGTTTGTATTGAGTCTTTTTAAGATAACAGTTAAATATGAAATGTTTTACAAATACTCGATTTCTACGATCAATTTATCATTATATACTGTTAGTACATTTTGTTAGATATTTTCTGAGATATTCTATTGACGAAATGTAGGTATAGTAGACATTTTGCAAAATCTGTTTCCGATAACTCTAACTGTTCAGATTGATAACATTGTTGTTAGTGTAAACATAACACGATGACAATTGATCTGTTTCCTGTTCCTAAACTAGACTGCACTAAACTGCACTATAACTCTCTTTCTCTCTTTCGACAAATACCAAATATATATCCATCTCACTTTAAGTTCCAAAAGTGTACACCAGTTCAGCACAGAAAACAGACCTAATATTGATAGCAAAAATCGAATACATAACTGGTATCAAATTCTGTTCGATTTTTATTACTAATTCGTCATATTTTGTTGGTCAATTTTTGCATTTTCATCAGCATTTAACTGAAATATTGTAACAAATTTATTCATGTCTGTAATTTTTCCGACAGAATTCAAAGTAGCTGTTTTTGTTCAATTTTAAAACAGAGTTCGCCTGGAATAGTTACGTCCCTGTTCGCGTTTGCCAACTTCTTCCCGTACCGTTTTTCCCCCTCTTTCTTTCTCCCTTTCCTTCTTCATCAGTGAGACTGTCTCTCGCGTGGCTGTATCCTGAACTGAATAATATTGGAATTGTCGCGTGTGTGACTACTGACCGCACAGATACCCTCTCTAAAGATCTCCGTGACGCTTATAAGGATGGTACGAAGGAATATTCAGAGAGGACATGTGCAAGTTGCCCCGGAGCGCAATCGTGGTAAGTTCTGCGTTCTTATGCATCTCTACAATTGCGGAAGTATAGCTAGACTGGCATGCTGACGATCGTTGATCTGGGAACATATGGTTGGTAACATGTAGTAGTGGTCCTATTCTTTTCGTATCATGATCATAAAAGCTTCCCTGTATATTGTTGCTGTGATATATCTGAAAAAGTTTGTATTATTAATCAAATCTGCTTTAGATAAATTTAGATAAATTTACAGTGAATTGTTCATAATTTTACGTGTCTCATAATATATGAAAATTATTTAAAAAATGGAATATCCACACGTGCATGCACGTATTTAATATATATAAATATACTAAATATACGTATTAAAATACATATTAATTTAAGAATAGAATTTTATTCTGTGAATTTTTATTCTCAAATTATAGAAAAAGTTATAGATTAAATTTTAAAAAAATCGAAATTATTTCATTTGACATTTAAATGTAAAAAGATATTATATGTGAAAAAAATATTTTTGTTTGGCGTAATTTACGGAATGTCTTATTTTAATTACTACAGGCAAATATCTCGAAAAATGATATGAAAAACATTTTAAACAAATAAGTTGTATGACTTGAAAGGAAAGAAATTTAATAGTAAAAAAATCAATTTTAGAAAAAAATCGATTTTTGTGATCATATGAAGGTTAAGATCTTTTTTTTTAATAGATGTATGATTTTTTTTTATAATATGATTCCTCCAATTACACAGGACAAATCTCAAGATTTTTTTTTAAAGATGTAGAAGTTTCCTATGTATTTTTGCGTGCCTGAATCGTAATGTAGCCACAAAATGAAATCGGTGTATATTAAGGGTAGAGATATAATTTTAAAGAATGACATTAACCGTGGTCTTTTGAACAGACAAGCTACAACTTCAAAGCGTAATATACCTGTACCTCGCCACCATCAAGTATGTCTCAGGTAAAAATATCATACGCTATCGATTCAAAATGAATTTTGAGAAAATAGTATTTTATGACATTAAGAAGTATTTAATAAAGTCATGAAAATGGCTAAAAACGTGTAATTTTTTTCGATATACTCAATTTATTTTGAAAATTTGATGTGTGTTACGTTCCAAGACACAAATTCTGCAGTAAAAATGAATTTGTAGTGCAAAAATGAAAATAACAGGAACTATCTAAATGGAAATAAGAGAAATCCTCTAATGGTCTTGATCTTGACAAATGTTATCTAGGTAATGATCTTGGACCATTCGAAAGATTTTAGCTGTTGCGTCGATCGGACACCTGATTAATGCTAACGCCGATAGTACTGCAACTTTTAAAGCTTATAACGCGAAAAGTTTTTAATGAAAAAGAATACCATTACAATGTTCTGAAAAGCTCTTGGGATAAGATTCCATGTAAAAAAATTCAAAGTGACATGACCTTAATTACGCCACTCAAAGTCAAATCAATGGTATTTATATTTCTTGTATCTCTTTCCGAACCATACAACTTTTGTTTAAAACATTTCTCCGTATCTATCATAGTCTTCGAGAAATCTTAATGCATTATTTAAAATAGGACATTCTGTATGATAATAATTTTCAGATATTTTATTTATAATACCTAATAATTTTCAGATAATTTAAAGATATATATAGTAATAATCTAGTGATTAGTTTTCTATGTACATATTTCATGTGTGATGGGCTTAATAACTTTCGATCTCTCGCTTTTTTTCAAAATGAAAAACTGAAAAGAATACCCCGGATGCTGAAATCTGGCTAGAATGATTAGACGTCCCCGAATACTTTCAAAGGAGTACATGTTCGGGAAAAAGTGAACTTCTGGTCACCCTATTATTGATTATTAACTACTATCAACCGAGATGAAAGATATCTTGATATCTTTAAGTTTTTTAAAAAATAAAATTTGTAACGGAACTGTCAATAAAGGTAACATCGCGATGTTACCTTTATTGACAACTGCATTATAAACTTTATTTTTTAATAAACTCCTATTGAAATCTATGAAAACTTAAAAGATTGATTTAAAATTAATTGAAGGATCTGACAATGCCAATAACGATATAATTGTTGTGCAATATAGACGTGATATTTATCATTATAAAAAGAAATGTTTAAACGATCACATATGTGTATATAGTATTCCGTATTAATTAATACAATCTTAATTTGCCAATAACGTTAAATTAAAAAAAATAAAGGATTATTAAGTAAGATATTTACAATCTTATACTAACTTGATTTTTCTTTTATCTTTTTTTGTAATGTCTTTATTTATTTCTGTTTACAGTGGCAGCTCTGATATACTGGCGCGATCCTAAAAAGTCAGGAATTGTGTTCGGCACGATACTGGGTGTACTTCTGTCATTGGCCTATTTTAGTCTGATTAGCGTGCTGGCTTATATGTCACTTCTTGCTCTTAGCGGTACCATTATTTTCCGTATCTACAAAACGGTTCTTCAAGCAGTTCAGAAGACCTCGGACGGCCATCCATTCAAGTAAGTATAAAAGTATGATGAAAAATCTTTTAAAAACATCATGTATACGTTCTTTATTTTGTTGATTAACATATTTCGTTTAACATATTTTCAAAATGAGTAATTGCATAATTTTATTGAAAAGCAATTATCATAGAATATAATAATTCAAAATATTGGACGACATTGATAATAGTAATGTGTATTCCTATTCCAATGTGTATTTATTAATTTATAAAATAACTGTTGTATATACGGATGTGTAAAAAGTTAATATAATATTTAGTTAATATAATATTTAAATATTTTAAATATTGAAACAATCTAGCTAATTTATTTATGACAATTTTGAATAAACTTCGCTTTAATTAAGCCGTTATCTGTATTGTAGAGACATTCTTGATCTGGATCTGACATTACCAGCTGAGAAAGTGCATGAAGTCGCAGATGTTGCAGTTGCACATGCTAATGCAGCTGTCAGTGAATTGCGCAGACTTTTCCTCGTTGAAGATTTCGTCGATTCTCTTAAATTTGGCGTTTTGCTATGGTGTCTCACTTATGTGGGTTCTTGGTTCAATGGCATGACTCTTATTATAATTGGTAAATTCTTTTATTGTACAAAAGTGCTCTATATTTTACTACTATGCATAGAATCAATTCAATAATCGGTCCATTTTATCTTTCAGGAGTGGTTGCTCTTTTCACACTGCCTAAGGTTTATGAAACGAATCAGGAGCAGATCGATCAGAATTTGGCCTTGGTGCAAACAAAGATCAGTGAAATTACCACCAAGTAAGTTGAATAGAGATTTCCTCAATTTATGAGAAATTTTATGAAGAAAATTTTTTTCTATGAAAACAGTGCAATAAATTTTTTCTCTTTTATTAAGCAAAAAAATTTATCTTATTTATTGCGTTAAAAATTGAAAATATGTTATATTACTATGCAAATCTATTTTAATGCATACGCAGTTTACTTGTAATTATATAATGGGTGCGTTTAGTACAACCCCTTCCTAAACGCTCAAGCTCTTGCATATTTCATTGTATCCAAAAATACACCAAATAATGCTCAGTGAGCGGTAATACTGAATGCACTCATTGTAGAGAAAATATGCTTTTATGATAAAATAAATTATCGACGTATAATTTACTTGCACTGGAAAATTGTAAAAATTCATACATTATTAGGCACCAAGATCTATTATGACTGAATATAGCTCTCATCACTCATTTATATAATAAGAATTTAAACTAATATCTTCTGATTTCAAATTTGGATTCATAAACAAATATAATTAATTTTTACATTTCTTCAAACAATAAAAATACGACAAATAATATAAAAATCGTTTTTACATATAAGAGAAAATTGTGAACTCTCAAAATATATATCTTCTCTTTGTAATAACGTTTTTTAACAAAATTATACATGCAAATTCAATTCTTGCATAAAGTATTATTTCTATCCAATAAAATTATGGAAAGAGAATAACGTTGAATTTTTTTATTGCTTCTTGTATTTTTGCTATAATATTTCTAAAAGATGAATTATTCAATTGTTTTAGAGTGAAGGCAGCAATCCCTCTTGGCAAAAAGACTGAGCCAATAAAGGAAGAATAAAAGAAAGTCAGAGTGGCAACAATCCAACGAACAGCTGAGTCAGCAAATATAGAAAAGTTTAAGTTAGAAGTAAACGAAAGAAACATGAAAAGTGAGAGAACAGCTTGAAAGCGCGTGTAAGAAAACTAATACATGATCGAGGAGAATACTTGCATTATTAAAACGAGGATTGAACCTTGTAATAACCATGCGGGAGATGGGAATTATTGGCGGTGGGAGTTCTTTGCGAGCTTGGCCGTCGTATTTCCGGAGAATATTAATTTTTTGAGGTCGGCAAGGATCGTGCACGCGTAGACATTCTAATCACGAAAGCAATTCTTATTGAGGAAGTAAACATCGCGAGAGAAAGAAAGAAAAATACTAGTGATTAATTAATTGTTTATTATTACGATAAAAAGCGACGGCATGTTTTTAGCCAGCAAACAATGCAATGTGCGCGGGGTTGCTTTCAAGGATGAAATCAGCCCTTCGTCTCTCCCTTCCTTCTTTTTCGTCGTACTATTTGACAAATGTGTTTTATGGTTATCATAAACTTCGTGTTTTTACCTATCCGATGATGTCCTTTGTTTTTCTCTTCGTGAAAAGAGAGAAGTATGAAAGCAAACGAGAAAATAAAAAAAAATAGAATGAATGCTTATGAATATGTGAGAGAGAATGAATAATAAGGCTGTATGTGATTTATCTTAGTCCTGTCTTCGTCGGAACGTCGTATGTCGCTTGGATAATTATTTCGCGGATCGGACGCCGCCAAAATAATCGTTTTACGACAAGATATAAATGAGAAATGGGGGGTGTCGGAAAAGATAGTGATACTTTAAAGATTTAGAATAGAAAAGAATGGCGAATATGAGATGTCCAACGTATAAATAGAATTTATTCGTCAGCGACTTTAAAGATCTTATGATTACCTAATTTACAGCGATATCCCCTAACATCTTGATGTTTTCAGTTGTTGTGTTTGAGAGAATTAAATGGAGGTTTAATAATGAATTAAATTATGAAAAAACGTGTATATTGTATCTGTCTCTCAATGACGTTGACGTTTGCATAATATTATTATTACTACTGCATCATTAATTGTAATTATATCGTTATGTACGCACTCGCAAATATATATATATATATATACACATCGTATATGCATATGCTCATGTATAATGTACGTATGTATATGTGTACAAATGCGCATGTGTGCATATGAATGGAAGGGACGACTATCGAAGAAAATGATCTTAAGTGAAAAGGCACGAAATATATTAAACGGTAAACGATAAAGACGCAACTTTATATCATAATATCTACAATTATTAGAACACGTGTTTTTATCGGGACCGATATCAAAATGTTAAGAATATGAATTATAACATGCATAATATGCTTCTTGTCGTTTTCATTATTGCATCTGCATTCGCATCCGCATTAATTTATAAATAAATGATATTAAATAAATAATCGCTGTTCCTTTCGTATTTATCCTATATCTCTTGTACATTTGAAATATTTTTTCTAATGAATTCTGAGATAAAAATATCTAATAAACTCAATACTTATTTTATACGAAATTCTAATTTAATATGGTAAACTTCTATATTTATAATAGTAAGATTTTTTTTAGTTTTGAACATGAGACATTTTGTAGATAAGTTTCTTCAAAACAATTTCGAGTAGAGAATTTATTTTAAAAAAAGGGAAAAAAAATTGTTCTAAAATAAAAAGAATTTAGAATTTAGGAATTTAGGAATTTTACAATAGAGTCGTAAATCGTACGAAATGCATGTTTTCTATATTTTATACAATTCTGCGTATTATGCCTACTGCATACTGGACGCAATATCCAATGAGAACTCCAGTTTGCATCGTCAAAAAGCAGATAATTGCGAAAAAGTAGAGTTTTTATTAGATATCGCTCATCGCATCCAATGTGCATTATGTATAGAATTGTATAATTGGTCTGTTCGTGTTGCGCAAACAGATCCAATATTTTTCTGTCGCGCATATTCATCCCTGGAAGGCACTATTTGTGTTATTCTATCTTCATCGATTGTTAGATATAAAACAAGAATAGAATGATAGAAATAACTCTAATAGCGTTCTCTAATAGTTCTTCTGAACGCATCTAAAGTCATCACGTGATTCTTTTTGTTGTTCGCTGAAACGGCCAGTTTGAGCGGCTCATGAAAACGCCTCTTTACCGATTCAAACTGTTGCCGCCACGTGTATGTAAGTACGCAAATGTTCGAGCGCATGCGTCACCTTGAAGCAAGGTGATCATTGCCTTTCGAACTAGCAGCGCATCATTCGCCTTTGGCGATCCACATCGTGTTGGTCGCGTTCACGTAGCAGTTTGTCACACTACACGTAATCGAGCCAATTAAATCGCCGTCATGTCAATTCCGAACAGCGATCATGAAAAGAGAAAGCAGATTTCGGTGCGTGGCATCGTTGACGTTGAGAACGTTGGGAACTTTAAGAAGACCTTTAACAGGCATCTTCACTACACCCTAGTGAAGGATCGTAATGTCGCCACAAGTCGCGATTATTTCTTCGCCTTGGCCCACAGTGTCAAGGACAATCTCGTATCACGATGGATTCGCACCCAGCAGCATTATTACGAGAAAGATCCTAAGGTATCCATTCATGTCTCGTATAATTAGTCTGTAAATCGGCATGATTTCTACAACTTTGCATTTCATTATTTTATCAGTCGATTTTCATTTATTATGTTTGTATTTCATTGCCATAATCGTACAAATCTCTTTATTACTTCTCTCTGTTTTGACAATTGACGATTAACCTAAGATCTTCTGTTAGACTTCTGTTTTCTGACTCGATTCCACCAATATAAAATTAACTTTAATCTCGATTTAACTTAATGTTCTTTTCTAATGCTGGGAGTTAAGAAAAGATAAAGAATAAATTAAATCGAGTTAATCTTACATTGTTCGCATCCAAACGAGCGTATTGGAGTAAATAGGAGCTTTGGTAGAAGCATATTGAAGCATGTTGGAGCATGTGATGCGAATAAACTTATTGGTGGAACCGGGCTTAGTAGGCTTTTATAGGTCTGTTCTTTTTAGTTGAACTCTTTGCACCGTTTTATTTGTTTTCTCTTTTCTTCTTCGACATCGAGAGAAAAAAAGAAAGATTCGTGCAAAAAATTTAACTGAAAAGAACAGATCCATATTCAGAGTACTCTTGCAATGATATTAGCGCTAATGGTTATGCTATAGTTTACATTAAGCGGCGTTTACAATGAGATTTTAATTGTAATAATCTTAACTGCAAAATATTAACGTACTGTAAAAATTAGCCAATCACAGTGTAGAATTGTCAAAACTCTCTGCTGTGATTGGTTAATTCTGGTATGTCTTACGGTTACAGAATATGTGTGAGAGGTCCTTTAAGCCATAAAAAATTTACCAATCAAATGTGAGAAGAATAATCGACTATGATTAAATTTAAGGCTTAAGTTCCATTAAAATTTCAAAATTGTTGCTGCTTTATACATATTGTAGAATTTCAAAGATAAAAAGCATACAGTCATTAATATAAAATCGAAAATTAAGGATTTGGAGAAATATCGATAATGGAAAATAATATTTAAGAAAATCACGTTCATTATGTAATTTTCATTATATTTTTGCACTATTAGATGTTTATATACAATAAAATAAAAAGATAATACCTATCTAAATCCATATTTTAAAGCAAAATTTCTTTTCAATAAGAAAATCTATAGAATTCTTGAGAAGATCTTTCTGAGAAGATAACTTGAAAATTTTATATTATTACATTATTTTGCTTATCAGAAATATTTTGCAATCGTATGCAAATAGGAAGTCTTTATAGTTCATAAGTCGATTACAGTTCATTAAAAAAAGAACGCATCAGAGCATTAAAAATTGGATAATACAATTTATCAATAATAGCATGCTATGTAATGTGCTTCGTAGCTACATGTATATCTAGAGAATGTTTATAAGAATTCAGATAAAAGCTGCGTTTTATATATACATATATGATAAAGATTTAATAATTTTAAATCTTATATGTGAAATATGCATTTTTAATGATCTTATTTTAACCTTTGTACATACAAAAGTATGATTATGATTAATCAGTCAATATGAAGGAAGTAGATATGCGTAACAAAAAGTAGAAAGTATAGTGCAATCTGCAATACGCAACTGAATATTTTTTTATATTAAAAGATTTTTGTGTTTTATTATATCAATTGATCTTATTCTGTGTATAAAAATATTAAAAGTGTATATACATTATATATTTTGTAATATGTATGTTACATCAAAATGTATCGAACTAGAATATCTTATCATTGCTGTTCTTTTAATAATGAAGATATATTTTTATTTTTAAAATTTCACTTATATATTTTTGAAAGACTTTCCATAATGTTAAATAATGTAAAATACAAACGTATTTCGTAAAGATAATCGAACACAAATAGAAGGATTCGAAGCTTGAAGGAGAAAGCAAAAAATCTAACATATTAGCTTTAAGTAAAACATTTATGAAAAAAATAATATCAATTTTTTTAGAAGATTAAAGAAGAGAAATTACTGTAGCCTCATGAGAACATGTTACAAGATGTAATAGAATAATCGTAAGCTTTTAATTCTTCTTCTTCACCAGTAAACTATTAATTGCTGATTAAACATCAGCGTTTCGCAAAATACAAAAATTAATAAAAATGAATAAAGTCGAAATTCTTTGTTTTCTTCTTTAATTTCTTATCTATATTAAAAAAGTCGTTTTTATGAAATGTATTATATTCTAACATAATATTATTTAATACTGATTATCATTTGAAAATGTTTAAGGCGGGAATACTTTATGATAAATAAATTTTTATAAGTATAAATTGCAAGATACACATGATACGTATCTTTGTAATTTATAAAACAGTAAAAATTTATCTTTTTAAAAAAAGATTTAAAAAAGGCCTTAAGAATATGTATTTCTCGACAAAAATTGTATTAAGTTAAAAAATATATCAAGTGGCGCCAAAATATAATCTCTAAAAGAAAATTATTTTTATTATTTAACTCAACTTAAGTGAGACATATTTTACTTAATTCAAGTGATACGTATATATCGATTGTATTGTGTAAATATAAATTTTTTTATTTTACACTGTTACCTTAATTAATCCTTTGTGATAAAATTCATTTCATAGAAGAAGTGTAAATTACAGTATCATTTAACAAAATTGATATTTAAAGACCCTCGCTTTGCGTACAGTTTACAATGCGAAGCGAGGTTCAAAAAAGAAATCAGATCTAAATTTTGGTGTGGGATGATCTTTCACACTTCACGTAGATTGTAGTTGTGCACTCCTTGGCATTTTGTTTCACGTGAAAAGTCATTATACAAGGAAAAGAGTTTGTGATAATTCTTAACATTAGTTCTTAATATTGTAACAGAAATAAGATGTTATTTATTAAATTTTTTTTATTAATAGCTTTTTGACAAATAACGACTGACGGGTAAAACTTGTCGGAGGTTTCTCAGGATCATGACCTTGATAATATATGTCAAGGAGCGGGGTCCCCTCGTTATATTTATATAATCTTTTATACAACTGATACGTATCACTTGGATTAAGTAAAATATGTCTCACTTGAGTTGAATTAAATTACGCAATTTTTTTGGGATTATAACTTGATGCTAATTATTGATATCAAATCTTTTATACGACTGATATGTATTATTACATAGCATGACATGGCGTTTATATAATAACTTTATTATAATTATAACTTTAAAATCAAATAGAGTATTTCTATTGTATTGCAAGTCTTGCTTTTTTTTCCAGAGAGTATATTATTTATCTTTGGAATATTATATGGGAAGATCGCTGCAAAATACAATGATCAATTTAGGGATACAAGGAGCATGCGACGAAGCTATGTATCAGGCAAGTGTTTTTATTTAAATAAATTTATGTAAATGTATTAAATATAATCAAATATATAATGAAAAATGTATTAAAAAATAACACGCTCTAAAGACCAATTTCTCAAAATAATTGTAAGAAATGAATTATTTTCAAAAGATTTACGTCATTTGCGGATTATTTCCATGTCTTGAGACATCATTAAATACCAGCATTTTATGAACATTGTAATTCACCTCATCAGTGAAAAAAGTAACTATTTCATTAGGTATTATTTCTGAGTAGTATGAACAAAAATTGCAACGCTAGTTTTTAACGATTATTTATTAAGACACGATGTATCAAGGAAATAATTCACAAACCTCATAGCTATTTTGAAGAGAATATCCGTAAGTATTAAATGAATTATTTTTTTATTATATTATATGGAAGAAATAAGAATTAAAAATAAGACTCTATTACACATCAAGTAACGATACAATTATGAAAAGGGTGCTAATAATCATTCTGTACATATCATTTAGTTCAATTTAAAAAATCCTTGAGATGAATAATAATCTTTTAACAAACTTAAGTGCAAAATTACTTGTTCGCAAAATCATGAAAAAACTCAAATTATACGTATGAGAAATTTTATAAGACACTTATGTAAGTACAGGTTTTGTTCACAAGATGAAAAGACAGGGAATTCATTTCACTGTTTACATAGAGAAAGTACTGCAATGATGAATTGATTCCAAGAGTTTATGTGAGCTCTCCAAGGTTCATAAACTGGCATACTATAGAATTATTATTTCATCTCTTTGCATTCTTTGGCTTTTTATATTCATTTTCAAATACTTACATCTGAATCATGTTGATAATATTTCAATTGATTTACAAATTATCAAGTCTACAAGCAGTGTTGAGTATCTTTAGATACATGCATCTAGATACATGTATAAAGAGATACATTTTGTGGTGTATCTGAGATACATTCAAATTCGAGTATATCTGCATCTAGATATAAAAACAAAGGAATCTGATTTTCAGATATATTTCCTTAGCAACGACATGATTCTATCACATGTTAACATACTTCTGTGATTAAGGTCTGAACAAATATCAGTTTGTAAAATTAATAATGAATATTTTATCATTTTAATTGCAAGATTTTGCAAAATTTCGTTTGTCGAATTTTCGTATTATATTATAATAGGAGTAAAAGATTAAGTATTGTTAGTGCCGAAACTCTGATTTTTGTTTTTAAAAAACAATATGTGTATGATGCATATAAGAATTTTTAGTTACTTTATTATTATATTATGGTTTCATGTCTTCAAAATAACGAAACTAAAAGTGATTAATAAATAATTTATTTAATATGTTTTTTAATACTATCATAATTATAACAAAATGTAATTTAAAAGTATTTTATATGTATCTGAAGATACTTTTAAAATATCTGTATCTGTATATAGATACATTTTCGCATATGTATCTATATCTGTTACCTAGATACATTGTAAAAGTATTTTATTCATTATTTATAAGCCGATAGCGATTTTATTTTAATTTTCTTGGACGTAGTTTCTTTGTTCATCAATATCCCAACGGATCTTGCTATACAGTGTAATTAAGAGATGGAATTACATTTAAAAGTTGTAATATGCCTATGAGAATATATGTTTAAAGACTTTAAAACTAGTTTTAGAATTTACGTTCTTCGCTTTCAACAACATATTATATAAGTAAAAATTCTGAAAATTCTTTCAGGGAATGATTACCCTTTGCAATTTATTTTCAATAAACGCTTTTTTTTTTCCAAGTACAATAGAATTCGTTGCAATCATGTGAAATGTGAAGGATACACGATTGAAACTTAAACTTTAGTCTCTTTTTGAGATTGCTGAGAATGATTCGAAGTCATGCTAAAATGTTCATTTTGTATCACCATTTAAATTTATATAGATTTAATAAATAGACTTTTGTTTTGTTGTAAAATATCTATGCTATATGAACTGCGTTTGACTCTTAGAGCCCTTTTCACAATTATATTGTTACAGACTATTTAAAATTTAAAGGTATACCCTGATGGAAAATTTTTTCTGAATTGTAATGAATAATAATGAGATATTATTGAATTTCATATTGAAATCAAAATTGAATCACTTTTAATATTACTTCATTAAAATTTATTAAGATTTCATTACAATTCGTTAATCTTTTATAAATAATTTAATACAAAATATTATTATATTTAATTTTGCATTGATATAAAATTACAATGTTAGAATGCATGCAAAAAATATGTTATAAATTCGACTGCAGATAATTTGAGCTTCGGTTACATAGACCAGTCTTTCTTTATACCAGCCAGTCGTTATGTGTTTATAACAACAGTTGCACAGCTTTTATACTATATAAAATATCTACGCAATCATTATGAGCACATAACGATTGCATAACGAATTACAGGGACTGATTGTACAGAGAACACGACTAAATTTTATGAGAATCGACACCTTCGAGCGGCATTCAATTCATTGCTTTTCATTACAATATTAACTGATTTCATTATTTTTCAGCAGATTACATTCTTTCAACTTAATTCCAACATTATCCTGTTTCTGTTTTCGATAATTCATTAATAAATCTATAAATTAATCTATAAAAATAATTATACTTTATTCTTATTTCATTATTTTTCAAATATTTTCATTAATTTACCTTAAACTTTATTAACTTTATTTCATAATTTCAGCAATTTTTTTTCCACCAGGGAATATTTTTAAAAATATATTTATCACTTTCTTTTGAATTGATGGAAATGAAAATTATTTTTCTTGAGTTTTTCATTTGCTTCAGATAACACAGTATACTTAATCTATTTATTAAATAATTACACGATTCACACAAAAATTTTGTGTAATTTGTTAATCAAAGTCATTTTATATATATACAGAAGAATATAAAAAATTATTTATTTAGTAATTTTTATTAAGGAGATTTCTAGTTTAGAGTGAAGAAAAATCGTTTTTTCTTAATTGTCAAAATCATAGTCTTAATAATATTTTTAAAACGATTTTACAAAATTCAAATATTTTGCCTTACAGATTTCAAAGAATTGATGTTAGGAACAGCGCAATAGATACTTTTTTCTTACATTTTTAAACATTTTTCCCTTTTCAATTTTGAATTTTTCTTGAATAATACATCTAATTGTAAGTATATTTCTTTAATTTAAAAATATAATTTATATATATCGAAATTCGAGGATAATATTATTGCAATAAAACTTTGTGAAAAATTAAGTAATAAAAGTGTAATTTATTTTTTTCATAAAGCAGGTTTTTAAAACGTATAAAGTTTTTAAAGTTTGATTAATTAAAAATGTTGGTAAAAAAGTCATTTGCCTGTAGCTTGTGTACAATAGTATTAAATGTAGAACACTTCGTTATCACCGACACTAAACAAAATATTGCCGCACACTCACATAATCATATAGTAAATGTAAAAAGTATTCGTATAGAGGAAATTATGATAAAGAAACCTTATTTATAGAAACTTTATTTATAGAAAATAAATATTAATCAGCAATTTTACGACGAATACATTGTGTCCTAAGAACATAACCGAAATTAACCGTGTTCCATGATCTTAAAATCTAATTTTACTTCTTTACCATTTCTTTCTATTTGTGCTTAGGAAACAGATCATTTTAATCATTCTATATGTATAACTCTATATCATCTATAAAATTCCATATAACTATTTCTTGTAGATGGGTTTGGACATAGAAGAATTGGAAGAACTTGAAGAAGACGCCGGACTCGGTAACGGAGGACTTGGCCGTCTAGCTGCCTGCTTTTTAGATAGTATGGCCACATTAGGTTTAGCCGCTTATGGATACGGTATACGTTATGAATATGGTATATTCGCACAGAAAATAAAAAATGGTGAGCAAATAGAGGAGCCCGACGATTGGCTTAGATATGGCAATCCTTGGGAAAAAGCTCGGCCAGAATTTATGTTGCCAGTAAATTTTTATGGCCATGTAATTGACACTTCAGAGGGCAAAAAGTGGGTGAATACGCAGGTAATAAATCCTTTTAATACATAATACTTTATACATAGAATGTATGTGTTTAGCAAAAGATTGTTAAATGTTGTTTCATTACATATCACAATTTGGCAGAGTTGGGTAAGTTTTTTTTAACTAAATTAAGTTAACTTATAAAATTAACTTACAATTAGTTAAGTCAAAAGTTGAATGAACAGAAAACTAATTTAGTTAAACTTACATTAAGACTATATTAATTTAAATTAAATAAAAAGTAAATTTTAAAAAACTTCTTTTATTATCAGGATACCTAATTTAAAAAATTAAATTATTTTAAATTACTTTAAATGAAAATTACAATGTAGATCAGATACATTTAATATTTTATTTGTAAATTGTATAAAATAACAGATATTTCTTGTACAATAAAAAACTGATTTTTAATATTACTTTTACATAGATATTTTCATATTTTGATGTAAAAGAAAAATAAAATAGAATTTTTAAGAATGTAAGTAATCTTATATCTTCTCTTTGTGTTGGCTATGCTCGCATGTTTTTTGAAAATATGAATTGAAATAAAAAGTTTTTATTCTTTTTTTATCGCTTGTTAGACATGAAATGAGCATGATGCAATAGCGTTCCCTAAATGCAGACTCACGTTTATTTTTGGGCTACGAGCGTCGCACAATCATTGAGCTTTTTCTAATGTTGAAGATTTTATAGACAATAATATTTATAGAGATAAAAAAAACTTTAATTTTTTTTTTTAAAGAAAAGGTTAATTAAATAATAAATTAAATAATAAGATGAGAAATAACGGTTCAAATGATTAAAAATCAATCTTAAATTAAGGGATTAAGAATCAATTAAATTAGAACTTTAATGTTAATCCACTACAAAATAAAATTGCATTTAATATTTTGATACTTTTAATATATATGAAGTATTATCAAGGTTACAACAATCGTATCGATCAAAAATAGCTTAAAGTCACAGATTGGAGAAAAAAGTCATGCAAAAAAAATGTCAAATTCATTCTAAATCCAGGAACATTAGTAATATAAAATTAGAGGTACTGTTATACAATTTTGACATTGCAATACTCTCGTAGAGCGTCAACAGTTTAAACGCACTGTGGTAACGCGACGATGATGCCAATCATTACGATCATCCTGCTTTTAAATTGTGAGATCGTGAGTAACAATAACAGATTTCGTGAGGGTGATACAACATGAGTAAAAATTTGTGAAAAAGTGAAAATTATATTATATTTTTTTCAAAAACAAACTATGATATAACAGTGTTTTATTGTAAAAATAGTTAATTGAATCTAATATTGTCACATAAATAAATTCACATAATATAACTGTAATATAATATGTAATTAAAACACGTAATATGATTAACATAATATAACTTGTAATTAAACTGCTTTGCCAAGTAAAATTAAATCTGTTGTAAATCATATGATTACTATACAAATATTTTTTAAAATAAAATTCCGCCTCTCGAAATGCTCCTAATTGAAGTGTTTACTAATAAGTTCTTTCATTTCGAAATGTACTCTATCTTATTCATTAAATCGTTACATTACTCTTATCTGCTTTTATAATAAGAACATCGGGGTGTTCAATCACAATTTTTTCAGTTTTATTTTTAAATATATTCAATTAATAATTTTTTACTAGAATTATAAGATGAAATATTATGTCAGAGTTTATTAATAATAGGAATAAACTGATTTGATCTACACATCATTGATTATGACAACGAATCAAATTTTTCTCTATGTGTTTAATCAAGTTTAGAACAATTTATTGTTTAGTAAATTTAATAAATTAAAGTTTAAAGATAATTAAATTAAGTTAAAAATTAATTCATTTGAAATTAACTGAATTCAATTAAAAGTTATTTATATATTAATTTTTTAACTTATTTTATTTATCTTTTAACTTACTAACTAGTTATTACCCAATTCTGCCATTTAGACTGATCTCTCTTTTTCAAAATGCTGACGTATCTACAATTAGTATAATTAAATGGAAAATATAAAGCTAAAAATCCTGCAAGAGAAAAACATATGGATGACAAAATTATGTACATATGTCGACATTATATTTCAACAAAATTCAAGGCTTGTTCACAAAAATACACAAAGTTAGAAATAAATAATGAATTTCTCGACATTTTAATAAAAAAATATTTCTAAATTTTATAGAAAATCTCTGATTTTGGGATACTTTGTATAAATAATCTGTAATAATAATAATTATCCTATTTTATTTAATATTATTAATACAGGTTATTTTTGCCATGCCGTATGATAGTCCAATTCCTGGCTACAAAAATAATGTTGTTAACACATTGAGGCTATGGTCCGCAAAATCGCCTATAGAATTTAATTTGAAGTTTTGTAAGTATCGAATTTCAATAAGTTCTATGATACAACAATAGTCTTTCTATATTTTGACTCTTCTGCATTATTGACTCTTTCAGTTAACGATGGTGACTATATACAGGCGGTGATTGATCGTAATCTAGCAGAAAATATTTCTAGAGTCCTTTATCCCAACGATAATTTTTTTGAAGGCAAAGAACTCAGATTGAAACAGGAATACTTTATGGTAGCTGCTACTCTGCAAGACATCATCCGAAGATATAAAGCTAGCAAATTCGGCTCAAGGGAGCATCATAGAACTGATTTTAAAGCTTTCCCTGATAAAGTAGCTATTCAACTCAACGATACGCATCCATCCCTAGCTATTCCCGAGCTGATGAGAATCCTTATCGATGTTGAAAGACTCTCTTGGGAGGAGGTATGTTTATCATATGCGTATGACATTATTATCTAGTATCTACATATTAAAAAAAAGATATTTTTTTGAAAATTTGTTAAAATAGGAAAAAAATTATAACTTACAATGTGCAGTTGCATACTTTTTCATACAATTATGTATTTTTATGTGTAAGGTTAATTTATTTTTTTTATTCCATTTTAAAATAATGACTTTGATATGACCTTGAATAAAAAAAACCAAATTAAAATCATTTTAATATTCTTCTAAGAAAAAATAATTTTTATTTAAAACATTTTTTATATTTCTTAATCTGGTAATCTATAAGTTATGCGAATTAAAAGATATCCTATTTTCAAAAAAATACAAAACCTTCGATTTAAAATTTTGATTATTTTGATAAATGATCGATTTTTTCAATATTCAGTTTTTATTTAAATGTACACTTAATAGTGACGCTATTACACTGTACACTTAATAGTGACAGAATGGATATCATACGAAACAGACATCTTGGAATATCTTAACTTTTAGGCTTGGGATATTACAACACGTACATGCGCCTATACAAATCATACAGTTCTTCCCGAAGCATTAGAAAGATGGCCCACCCATATGTTGGAGAGTATTCTTCCAAGGCATTTGCAGATCATTTATGAGATAAATTACTTGCATCTTAAAAATGTCGCAGCTAAATGGCCTGGCAATATGGACCGTATTCGTCAAATGTCCTTGATAGAAGAGGAAGGTGAAAAAAGAGTTAATATGGCTCATTTGTCAATCGTTGGTAGTCATGCCATAAACGGAGTTGCTCGTATTCATTCAGAAATTCTCAAAGACAGTGTGTACGTAGAATTTTCTTAGTTCTAAATCTAACAATCTGCTTTGAGAAGATTATTGAAACGTTTAATGTCTTCCTTTTGTTAGTTTCCGAGACTTTTACGAACTGACACCGGAGAAATTTCAAAACAAGACAAACGGTATTACGCCGAGAAGATGGCTGCTACTTTGTAATCCAAATCTATCCGATATAATTGAAGAAGTCAGTATTCAAATACGTGAAGTATTAATTATAGATTTGGATTTAAAAAAATATTTCAGTTTGATTTTAAATGCACAATTTATTTAATATAATTATTTTAATTGATAACGTTATCAAATAAAACGTATTCAAATTTCTGATTTTTATAATTAGGACTTACACATATATATATTTTACATGTATATGATTTTTTTAATAATTTAGAAAATCGGTAGCGAATGGACAGTTCATCTAGAACAATTGGAGCAATTGAAGAAGTGGGCGAAGGATCCGGTATTCCAACGTAACGTTGTTAAAGTCAAACAGGAAAATAAATTGCGACTAGCTCAAACATTAGAGAAAGAATATGGCATTCGGGTTAATCCGGCATCTATCTTTGATATCCAGGTTCGAATACAAATACTGAGACGTGTTTAATATTTTATAAAAGTAAAAGTGTAAAATAATTCCGGAAATAATGATTTCTTAATTGTTAAAAACCACCACAATTAATATATTGCGTATTTCTCGTCTCTAACATTCACACAATCAAACTAGCACCTATTGAGAGCCGAATCTTAAACTGCATGAAAAAAAATTCAATAAGGTTTGAGATAATATGATATAAGATCGAATTATGATATTTTGTTAACAGGTGAAGCGTATACACGAGTACAAACGACAATTATTGAATTGTTTACACGTCATCACTTTATACAATCGAATAAAAAAAGATCCGTCTGCTCATTTTGTTCCGAGAACTGTGATGATAGGTGGTAAGGCAGCGCCAGGTTATCATCTGGCGAAGAAGATCATTAAACTCATCTGCAGCGTTGCTAATGTTATCAATAATGATCCGATCGTCGGCGATAAGCTCAAGTTAATTTTCCTTGAAAATTATCGCGTGACTCTGGCCGAAAAAATCATACCAGCCGCTGATTTGAGCGAGCAAATTTCGACTGCTGGCACCGAGGCGTCTGGCACTGGCAATATGAAATTTATGGTCAGTAATACTTGGCAACGAAATGAAATTTTAGATTACGCATTTGTTTACATATCTGACGAGATAATCTCGATAATAAACTTATTTGACAAACATGAAACCTCGAATAATCTTAATCTTTATCTAATTTATTTAATAAGTATTAACATGTTTATATAATTGCAGTTATTTTTTAAAAATTGTAAATTATAAAATTTGATTTAGATAATGGAGTTCTGCTTTATTTTTAGCTGAATGGCGCATTGACCATTGGTACTTTAGATGGAGCAAATGTAGAAATGGCGGAAGAGATGGGTAATGAAAACATCTTCATTTTTGGTATGACAGTGATGGAAGTAGAGGCTCTACAAAGAAAAGGTTATAATGCATACGATTATTATAACAAATTACCGGAAGCTAAACAATGTATCGATCAAATCCAAGGAGGATTTTTCAGCCCAAATAATCCTGATGAATTCCGAGATATCGCTGATGTATTGCTTAAGTGGGATAGATTCCTACTCTTGGCTGATTATGAAAGTTATATAAACATGCAGGATCATGTTAGCAAAGTCTATCAGGTACTTAATCTATTATAACTATCTTTCTTATAGGCTTTCTTATAAGCTTTTTGTAAAAAAGACTGACTAGAAAATGTAAATCAAGATATGAGAAATGCCAATTACATCAAAGTTAGATGTTAGACTAATATAAGCACATGTATTTAAAAAAGATTTTTGATTTATCTCAGATATATGACTGCGTACCGATTATTTTCGATCGATCAATTTCATCATCATTCCTACCTTCTTATTTAAAAAAAATTCTAATTCAAATTTAATTTTAACTTGAAATTTTTATTTCTTACAAGATCTCTATGATACAACAGTTTTACGCTTGTTAATTGTTTCAGGACGAGAACAAGTGGGTAGAAATGGCTATCCATAACATAGCATCATCGGGAAAATTCTCATCAGATCGTACAATAGCGGAATATGCGCGCGAGATTTGGGGTGTTGAACCGAACTGGCAGAAACTCCCGGATCCACACGACCCTCGTGATATTTAAATAAATTCGTCACTATTTTTTCATAAAATATCTCGATATTGTCTGTCTTCTTTCATAACTACTAATATCCTCCTGTCGTAAACGATAACGTTTAGGACATTAATGCCAAAATAACCATAATTGCACAAAATAGTAGGAATTATTATTTGCAAGTATACAGAATGTTCCAAAATTCGCAAAATACCACAGTGAAAAAGTCTTCAAAAAATTAAAAAAAAATTATTTGTAAATTTTTATTTTAAACAATAGTTTGTGAAATAATTATGATTCATAATTAATAAATTATGGCACATAAGATCAATTACTGTTTATACTTGTTGAAATGTGCGCATATTAATACGAACATGCGATTCATAGACAGATGGTCGAAATGTAATTTGTAAGTGGCTATATTTAAAGTTTAAATATATAAATAAAGTGTTTAAAGTATAAATTTTAAACCCTTATACCTTTGCAAAAACTATTGCTTTAAATAAAAATATATACAACTTTTTTACTTAATTTTTTGAACACTTGTGATATTTTGATTCGCGAATTTCAAAACACTCTGTATATATCGCGATAATTTCTTACAATGTACTATAAATATTTACAGAAATAAGGGCTTTTTAAATGTTGCCTAAAATGGCACAGATATTGCTAGAATCTTTTTATGTTCACCTTTTTTGTGATGAAACTATATGTAGTGCAGTACTCTAGTTACTAGAGCAGAACTGGGCGATGTCTGCACATTTCAACCGATTTTCAGCTTGGCTCCCGCCCCTTATCTCATTAATCAGCATGCAGTCTAAATGCCGATTGGCATTCAACCAAATTGAAAATCGGCCGAAATGTATAAATATATAGCCTAGCTTTATATTAGAGTACTATTTTTTTGTATATAGAATTCAAGAGTGATTTTATCGATAATAATATCATCTGTAAATTAAGAGTACGTTCCATTTTGGGCTTGCTTGCTAAGCTTCATTTGTCCTTGTTTAATGTTTGGTAGATAACAAGCATGAACTGATGCCTACAGCGTGTAAACAGAACGCACCCAATATAGCATCTGTTCAAAATTATCATACACATCAACGAGTAGAAAATTTATGAATTAAAATTGAAGATTGGATGAATTACATGGCACAAATTCTAGATATAAATAAATTTAAATTTAGATTAAATTTTTATTGACAGATTAAGAACTATTATATACCTACCTACACAGAACATAATATGTTAGATATACTCTTTGAGTACTAGGGATATCCATGAATTCCTAATCAACAGCCATTAGATAGATCTACATATCCAAATGTCCCATTTGATATCTTGAATTCTTCTCTCTATCTAATTTTAAGTATCTACGTTATCCAATGGATATTTACATAAATATTTTTTTATACCTCTAGCAACACATTCTATATGCTATTATATGTATCTAGATGTCTATTAATAGTTGTCCATATGGATATGTGGATATTCATTAGATGTCTATTATATATTTTGTTCTATGTAAGTAGTTCTTTTCATATGAATGAAGATAGATGAAAAGACTCAATAATTCCTATTAATGAAAGGATTAGAAAAGTGCATGATATACTGACACTATAAACTTTCCTGTAACATCGTACGATTATATGAGTATATCTATTTCAGATATCGAATCATTCTGATCGTGTTCAATATATTTTTTATTGTGTATGATTCATTCAAAAGTAATTGATAAAAATGCCTTTTCAAGAGTAACAGATTCTTAATCTTGATACGCGAAAATATTCGACAAAACACAAAAAATGTAATGAATTATATGACTGTCTTCTATTTTCAATATTAATAAAAGAAAAAAAGAGAAAAATATACTTATTCTCTATTTCAAGCTTGTCCAATTTGACTTCTGGAGCCAAAGCGCAAACCCATTGACACAAAAAATTAAATATAAGTAAGACTTCTAGGGGAAGACTATAAGGAGATTATAAAATGTTGCTACACGTCTGAGATGCTTATCAATAGTCCATGAAATCTTACATTGAACTTTTTTGCGTTGATAGGTTTGCATTTTGGCTCCGGAGCTCAAATTGGACAGACCTGCTCTATTTTATCAGGAGATTATCTACACACTAATTGTGTCGTGGCATATAGTTTATATAAGTACTTATGTAATATATTGAAATATATATATATTAAAATAGTAATATAATGTTTAAATAATATATTGTATGTTATAAGAAGAACATTAGTAACTTGTTGAGAATAAAATCTGTGGTGAATATTCTTGAATTCGTTTTTTAGAAAATAATATTTGCATAAAATAGCTTCTCTGCAACATATTCTATTGTATATTTTCAACATTGCAAGATACATAATGTAGGATTGCGAAAAAAGTTACTTTATACAAGAAATTACAGTTACAGTTTTGTTGTCGAAAAGTAACTATTGTAGTTACTGTTACAAGTACTGATTTTAAAAAGTTATTTTAACGACAGTTATTTTTCAGTTATTTTTCTTTTCTGTTATTATCATAAAACAATATAGGTAACATTTTGATTTACTATTACTAACAAAGAAAAAATTTATTTATGTTTTGATATGTTATATAATTTTATTTAAATTTTCTATTCAAAAGTTTATATTTATAATCTTTCTATTCCAATTCAAGTAATGTCTTTAATTTTTCTTTAAAAAAAAAATAAACTTGCGTCAATTAAAATTAAAAATTTTTTAAAATAAAATTTATGCACATTATATAATTCAATTAAATCCAAATGAGTTTTTGAATTCCGATTCCAAAGATAGTTCTATTTCAAGTGTAAAAATAAAAGGACATAAGAGTCAAGCGCGAAAATTAATGCAATGCAATAATTAGGAAACTGTTCAAACAATTTATTACAATATTTAATTCTATATTTCATTAAATTCTCTCTCGAAAGATATTTCAAAATTGATTTATAACAATTCTTTCTTACATCAACAATAAATTGACATTTAGAGCACTAGGCTTTGGAATTTTCTTACATGTGTAGTAACTCAAATCATAATTGCAATGATAATATGAGCAAACGAATACGAGAAAAAGAGAGAGGGAAAGGAAAAGCAAGATAACGGTGAAAGAGTTTTTCATATACATACCTATACATTATTGACTGCACTAGTTCAGAATTTCCCGTGTGGAAGAAGAAACATACTCTGAGCTAAGGAAAATTTAGCTAAAGAACAGACTTATATATAAATTAAGAACAGGAGAAAGAATCGAAAATAATATTATTAATTTGGTTATTAAATAATTTCGGTATTATAATTTTTATATATAATTATAAACTTTATAGAATTTGATCTTGATTTCGGTTCATTAAAACAAAAAAAAATCAGGATTATAGAACGGTTTTCTGATTCCGTTTTTCAGTCTGGGTTTCTGATTCTATTATACATTCTTAAAAAAATTGTTCTCGAAGGTGATAAAATTTTTCTTTTTTTAGAAAGGAATGTCCTTTTTAATATTATAATTAACTTCCATATTTGATGTGTTACTAATACATATTAATTGTCATGTCATTGAGTTGACATAAAAAAGATTATTTTTAAGCAAACACTGTTTTAATTATTTTGTATTTCGAGTCAGATTTAATATAAGTAATCATTTCGCTTTTCAACCGAATATAATTTCAATTGATCTCTAATTAAAATATAGTTACTGAACTGTATCTCAGAATATAAAATAACAATATTTTGATTAAGTATTATCTAATATGCTCTTGAAATTTGAATAATAAGAGAATTTCAAAAGAATGAAATTGAGCATCATCGAATGAAAGAACTGCGAATCTAATTGATATGCATGGTACTGTGACCTCAAAAATAGGTTCGGAAAACCCGGGAAATATACTAAGAAGCTAAGAAGAACTATGAATCTGGAGACATGGTAGTCTCGGTGTTAAAACAAGCGAACAAATTAATTACTGCTGATATTTTCATGAGAATCTATTTTTTTATGAGCTGTTATATTTTAATATTTCAGTAAGTATTAACTACGAATATATGATATATACATATCTGTATATGTATACATTAATATGTAACCATAATATTGTTTAAATACATACACACATTAATTTTAATTTTAATTCAAAATTATGTACACTATACATACATACATATATTTATTTAATTATTATATACACTGTTCAAATTTGCAGTTTCTCATAAAACCGCGCGTCTTAATGAATATATAATATTTTCCTCTGTGTTTTCACTTAAATCATACATTTTTATATTTTTAATATATCGAATAAGAGATTATACATTCCTTATGCTTATTACGTCTTTCTTCTGAATATAATATATTTATATATAATATATACATAAAAAAGATTAATATTAAAATATCAGAATTATCCAAATAGAAAGAAAGCACAATGTGAAGAAATGGAGATAACGATAGGAATAACATGATTTCAACCCATCAGAGATTGTGTATTTCAGTGTATTCAATTTCTCAAGAGTTAAAACCGTGTTATTCCTATCGCTATCCCTATTCCCTCGCATTTTATCTGGAGCTTAATCCTGTTCGAAGTATGTAAATGCCAACGAAATCGTGTAAAATGTTTTACATGGACAAAAAATGATTCAATATATTTTTCGCCTCTTTTCTAAAATAAAAGTGAGGAAAATGAATTTTTTTAGAGTTGCACAATCTTTTTTTAAATACGCGGAAGTAAATTTGTATTTTCATTTCTTTTTTTTCAAAGAGGCTTTGTAAAAGTCACATAATGAAAACCGATGTAATGTTGCGATTATCATAAATCGACAGGATATCATTAAACAAAAATTATTGGGCAGACTGGTATGTGTGTGATTTAGAAATAATGTTATGCCATCAACAGCCAGCAGATGAATATCACTGCTAACCACAAAAATACTTTGGATAAAAACTGCTCTTCCTCAAATTGTGGTGTACCTCTCGGAGCTGCAAACGATAATTTTGTTCTAAATTATTATCTTAATTATTTCTTAATTATTATTGCAATATACATATAGTGATATGCCTTGTGATCAAGCAAAAGGATTCGCAGAATAAAAACACTTCAATTGCTATCCTGCCATAGCCAGAAAGCGCGTATATGTGTGTGCGTGCGCTTCTATTAATGTTTTACCTAAGGGTGCGGTCGAGTTGCTGCTACGAATGCTTCGAAGCATTTGATTGATCAAATAGAAAAAATAATTTTATTAATTGATCAGTCAAAAAATACTGCAATCTAAAAGGCTCTTGGAACATGTTCACACAACAATACACTACCATTCATAAAATCAAGGATTGCGATTTTCTTGCATTTCACAAAAGTTCAAGTATCTCAATGAGAAAAATCATAGGGAAGTTTTTGAAAATGAATTTTAAAAAGGAAGAATAGAACTTCAAACTGGTATTGAACATTTTGTCTCTGTGATGTTTTTTTCCTAAATTACATAAAATTGAAAATTGATCTTTTAATATTTTTATTATTTTTTTAAATACTACCTGAATGGAACATCATCAGACAATTTAACAAATAAGTATTTATCATAAACTCTCTAAACTTTAAAACGCTTTTTGGAAAAAGTTGCTATTTTATTATTTTTCGCAGATATCGAATTTCTTGTGCAAAAATTTACTTTTTCTACAATGTCTTTTATTTCAAAACTAAAAACTTTACGGAAAAATGCATCAGAAAAGAATATTTTTTATAATGTGTTCGCATAAATTTTTGTCAAATTTTTTAAAAACTTTTTCGATGTCAATAATTATTTAAAAAATACATTTTATCCATTTTTTTATAATTTACTTCGAAGACATGTTAGTAGAGTTCTCAATGTCAGCGCATAAATAAATATATACTATTTTAAAAATACCTTGAAAAAAAATTTTTTTTTGATAAATTTATGTTATGATTATTTTTTATGAAATCATTGTTATTAAATTGTATGATATTTGGGATCCAAATTCGATGATTCAACTAGCTAGATCTTCTGCAACATATCTGATTTTTTATTAAAAATTTAAATTATTTTTGTATATTATAAAAATTTATCACCGTTTTCAACCCGTTTTTAATTCACGATTATTTTGAATGATGAAAATGTGCGTTCCACTCAATGAATATGACTCTGTTTTTCGCAAAGAGGAACTTTTCCGTAAATCGAATTAAAACGGATTGCACATGAATACAGCCGAGTAATAATAACATTACGAGTACTTTTGATTAAAAAGATTTAATTATTATATAGTGATTATTTCTCATTAAATTGAATATTTTTGCGCAATTCTTTCCGCGCTCACTCCAAAATAGCTTGATAATATCTTGAAAATTCATTACATTTTTATTACATAGTAATTATATTTAACATATATGTAAATTCTATATATACACATATCTAACTGTTACATACATATATGCACATATGCATATATATAAAATATGTGTATACATACAATATATATGTATATATACATACAATAACAAGTGATAATATTAGGGTAACTCCGATATGTAAATCACATTTATCAAAAACTTAATTTATTAAGTACTTTCTCATGTTTAAAATAAATATACTACACTAACTAAAATGTTACACTATTTATTATTATAGAAAGAACGAGAAATACAAAATATTTAGTTTTTATATTCAAAAGAGAAACGTTTTAAAATTCTTGCATTTTTGCCATATATCATAGGGATCTTAAAATATACTTAAAATATTTATAAAAAATTCACAAATAATAATTAGAAACAAGACGTAAAATGACACAGTAACTTATAGAATGTATTTACAAAGTTTTATCAAGGAACAAGAATAATGAATACGTATAGGAAGTAATGAATAATTATTATATATAATTATTATATATAATTGTATAACAAAGAGTGGAGCTAAACATTTGTATTTTATTCTATTTTTTATCATCCCTCTATATTTATGTATCACCAAATAATCATTAAGTCTTTTGCACTTCTTATAATAATTATTTGATGTGGATACGTAGTGTTATTTATTGTAATGATAAATGATTCAATTGACGATAATTTTATTAATATTAATAATAAAAAAAACTGAAATTATAATTAATATAATTCTAATATATAACAAGGCGTATATTTATAACAAATTAGTTGTGTGTACCATAATGGAAGAAACCCAGATGTGCTCATTCTCGAATTTCGTATGGTTCTGCGCAGATACCAATGCAACCATTTAAATAGTTTCACCACAATAATTTTGAAATGACATGTCGAGGGATACTCACGAGAATTATTTCTGATATCAACGATATATTATTAAAGACCGTTGATTTTATGGAAGTTTGGTTACGTAATTGTAAAAATTGAAGTTAAAGACCGGTTATTCCATCTTCGAATAAATTATGTAGTAATTTACCTACTGAATAAACAAAAAAATAAAAAAGTAAGAGAGTAAGAGAGTAAGAAACAGTGAGCTGAAATTTATCGAAAGGTAGAACAGTCCAGCCTAAGAGTAAGAAATTGATAATATATAGTACTAATTTTATGATTATCTTGGCGTATGCCTAATTCAAATAATTGCGGCAATATAGCGAATAAGATGTCACGTTCTGACGACAGAATTAGAAAATGCATGCACAATATTACACCTGAGTATATATTTTCTTCCACAATGGTCTGTATATTAGGCCCACTTCTTCTATTCTTTTTCATTTCTGTGGTGTAAATCTTCGCGCGGCGTAAATATCGAAGTTACCCTATTATATGAATTCTATTTCAATTTATTTGTAATCATATGACATATCTATAATATATTGTTACGTTTATAAAACCTTTGATTCGAGCGGACATTGAGAAAACAGTCACGGAGCGTTATCTGTATTCAGATTCCCACCAGAGTACTACTAAAGCATCTTTTTATCCTTGTTGCTCACCAAATATGAAATTAATACCGTTTTCCCTTGACTACACTAGTGCACACTGATGAGTGTATATTAAAGCCATTGTACGCTTATTTAATGTGAGTGTAAATGTGAAAGGCAAATATTTCGTATTATAAAATACATTATTTAACAATACAATAAAATGTATTGAGAACTTTATTTATTTGTTTTATACTTATATTAAACATACATTTTTATGTCAATTTGTGTATAACGATTTTAACATGCACATGTGCATTAATATAGCCGAGGGAAAAACTCTAAGAGGCTGCGCACAATTAAGGAATAAGAACAGAGAATAGGAACAAAAATAGAAAATAAGAATTTCAACCAATCAGAAACCATGCACTATGGAATGTACAATTTTTGAAAATAAATTAATAAATTGATTAATTAATAAATTGATAATTAATAAATTGAAAATATTGAAATTCTTATTCTCTGTTCTTGTTCCTATTCTTTGTTTCTATTCCTTGATTGTGCGCAGTTTCTAAAAGAATACCTGAAGTGCACTCGGATGGGAATTTAGATCGATCTATAGGCCTGTTCTTTTTGGCTGAACTTTGCACCAGTTTATCTTTCTTCCTCTTCTTTTCTGCTGGAGAGAAAAAGAAAAAAAATGAACTGGTGCAAAAGTTCAGCCAAAAAGAAGGCCTCATTCATCCATGATGAATCGATCGATCCATAGCATTGTCATGCCGTTGACATCTGATTGGTCGAAATTCGTCTATCTCCACTTCGCTATGCGCACTGCTTTACTTTACGGATTCCACCATAGATCGATCCATGATATTTAGAAAAAAATAAATCGAGTGCAGTCGATCGGATTTGACAGACTCGAATTTGAATAAGCTATTGACATAGACGCGCTTGTATTTCTTTATTGAATAAAAATCTTGAGAATTTTTTTGATAAAGTATTCCTTTTTTTCCAAGAGCGCGATATATCTTCGCACGAGTGTGCGAAGGTGTTGCGAGGAATGTCTCATTTGAGAACGGTGGACGCGACAATATAAAATATCTATAAAAAATATTATATCTTTATCTTTATTTATATATCTTTTCGATCACTTAATTTAAAATTGATGTGGTAATTAATATACAATAAATAAATATATAAAAATGGGCTAAAAATGGTCCATATGAAGTGAAAAATTTTTATAAGGATAAATTTAAAGCATGTATAAGGTCGTTAATATTTTAATAACAATTTAGAAAATGAATTTTTACATAAAAATTACAAAAAAATTCGATTTGCAAAAATCAATATATTAACTTTTTTTAAAAAACTTTTTAAAACTTAAAAAGTTCGTTTTAAAAGCTTGTTTGTTAAATCAAATTTTAAATAAAAAGAACCTTACATTCTTGGTTAAAGCGGACTTTAGTACTTAAATATATTTTTTGTGTGAATTTATATACTTTCCGTTTCTGCATATCGCACCGAATGTAGTTCTTCTTAGTAAAAAAAATTTAATTTATTCATATCGGTCTAATAATCACTTCATATTACTTGTCCGTTAAATTTTGGTTAATGATGTTCCATTCAGGTTAAAGCGCTTCAAAAAATAATAAAAATATTAAAAAAAAATATCAATTTTCAATTTTATGTAATTTAATAATAAAATATTATACTATCTTGGATAATGCTAAAAGCAGGATATACGCATCTATTAGGTGTACAAATTAATTCTCGGCCCCTACCTTTCAGCGACTTCAGAATCATTTAAGTTGAACTTTCTCCGCCCTTTCTACAGTCATTTTGCTTTCTAGTCATTTTCCATCTTTTAGCTTTAAAATGAGGTACAATATTTGATCTTCCTGAAATATTAGCAGTAAACACGATGTTGTTCGAAAAGCAACATTTGAGGCACTGTTTTCTTTTCGCATTTCAACTTAAAAAAAAAAACGCTACTAAGGCGGAAGAAATGATTTCTTCGACTTTGAGCAAAAATGCTGTATCGCACGTGTAAAAAATGGTTCCAACAGTTTCGAGAAGGAAATTTCGACCTTGAGGATCGTGAACGCTCGGTCAATCAAAAAAAGTAAAAGATGAGGAGTTGGAGAACATTTTGGACGAGAATTCTTGCCAAACCCAATCGGAACTTGCAAATGCGCTTGGAGTAACACAGCAAGACGTTTCCTATTGTCTAAAACAGCTAGGGAGGATTCGCAACAAATGTCAATGAGTCCCTCATAAGCTTATTCCTGAAAACAAAAGCAAATGTCATGTCTGCTCTCTTCTTGCTTTCTAAATTCAAGAAAAAGGACTTTTTGCACAAAATTGTTACTTGCAATAAAAAGTGGATATTATACGATAATTCTAAAAGGCGAAAATCATATCCATTCAGATGAGCCATTAAACCGAGCATCACAAAAGCGAATATCCATACAAAAAAGGTTGCTATGAATTTGGTAGGATCAGAAAGGTGTAATCCAATTGTTTGCTCCAACAAGATCAGACTGTGATAGCTGAGCCCTTATCATCAGCAATTTGTGTAAATGACTCTTGAAGAAAAAAGGCCATTTACTGACAGTGGAAGAAGAAAGGTGATACTGCTGCAGGATAATGCTCGGCCCATACAACAAAAAATACTCTGGAAACCATCCCCAATTTAGGCTGGGAAATTCTCCTTCATGCGTATTCTCCAGACTTAGCCCCTTCAGATTATCATCTATTTTGAGCCCTACAACATCACCTAACTGATTCTCGATTCAAGTCCGTTGAAGAGGACGAACAAAGCCTTGATGAATTCATTAATTCAAAGCCACCATCATTTTTTCGATCTGGAATCTGGCAATTACTTGAGAGATGGAAAAAATGTATAAACAACGAGAGAGATTACTTTGAAGATTGAGTTTGTACTCATGTTTTTATAAATAAATGTCAAAGTTGGTCAAAAAAGGCCGAAAATTAATTTGTACACCTAATACATGTACGTCCACGCACGCGCGCATTCACGCACATAATCGTGTTCAATTCTGATCAAACTCCATGCAGTTCATATAGGAAAGAGAGTTACAATCATAATTTTAGCTAATGATAGCGTTATCATAAATTTGAAATAAATCAGCAAAAATTAATCGCATCGAGTTTGATAAAAAAACATTTTAAAGATAAAGTTCTATACTTTCATGTGCATTTTGTTCTGTTAGGTTGGGATATCTGATTCACGTCATACACTGTCGCAACCCCAGACCTTTGATTATCAATTTTGCGCTTCTTCCTTTTGTTCATCGTTTTAAAATAATAGTTGAGCACAATTGTGCTATTTAAATATTCTTAAAGTGTATTTAAAATTTCGTTTTGCATTTTTAAACATTTTTTATCTTTATTATTTATTAAGTTATGATCATTAAAAATTTGGTAAATTTTTCCTAATTTTTAATGATCATAAGTATTGCTTTTTTTAGAAGTGAGTGTATGTACACGTATGAGAAACATGTATAAGCATTTTTTATTATGTTATGATTAACTATAACTGTTATTTATACTCTGTACTCCAACGAAAAAGTTATTCTTCGCACATAGGAGGCAACTTAGTAGGCAAAGTGAACGTTTATACGTAAATATAACATGCTCAGACTTAGAGGATTGAACGGATGAAATAATCCTCCTTTTATATCGCCTCCTACGAAATGTGGTAAATTTGTCATTGAATAGAATATAGATGTCTTTATTCCGACCAATTAATGATAATAATTAGATATATTACTGTAAAAAAAGAGAAATCATTAAAATTTGGTAAAGAGATAATAGAAATTGTAATGATTCATTAGTTTTTGAGTACCAGTAACGATAACAAGTTAATAATAACAATAAAAAGTAATTTTTAGAAAAAGAACGATAACAAGTTACTTTTATAAAATAATTTTTTTCAAACCTATAAATATCTATATTAATTTATATCTTATATCTATTTAACTCTTATATCTTATATCTATTTATACTGTTCTAACCAACGTTAAATGGAAAATGTACTTGCAAAATGACCAAATTAATAAAAAATATTTTTAAGTAGATTAATTTCTACATTTTGAATATAGAACGATTTGTGAACATGTTAAAATGTTAAAAGAAAATACTAAATTCATAATTCTCTTGCAATCTGAATAACTAAAATCGGGAATCACAAAATCAAATAAAAATATTAATTATTCATCAAATAAAAATATACTAATCAAAATGTTTTAACAAATCAACTTTTATTTCTTTCTTCGAATCTAAATCGAATCACAGCGACGAAACTAATTTAATTTTTTAAAAACTGAATGACTGAATGTTCTTAATCTAGTATATCATATTTTTAGTATGATGCTCTTTTTTGTAAACATCAGAATAAGATCAGAAAAAGAGTACTGAAATACATAAATAATAACATTTAAACTGTATAGTTAGAGTAGAGATGTGCAAATTATTCAAATATAAATCAAATCAGAGCACTTATTATGAATCTATTCGAAAACAATTCCAATTTGGAATACTTTCGTTTTTCATCTTTCACTTATCCTATGATGGACATGGACAATTGTATTTGAATCGATCAGAAAGTTTTCTCACATCCCAGCGACCGGACATATACCTGTGTCCGAACACCATATTTATTATTAATCTTAAATATTTTTTATTATAATATTATAACTTAACTGTGTATTTAAAAATTATTTTAAAAAACTTCGAGATTAATAATAATATAAAGTTTTATGTAAATGTCCGGACATAGATACATGTTTTTGAAACATGTTTACTTTATATGTTTTGCATACAAGTTAGAATTCTATATGAATATAAATTAAAATACAAATAAATTTAGAATATTATTTAATGTTTTATAAATAACATTCTACATCAACGATAATTCTTCGCTTTTCTATTTTATAATTTTAGATATTAAATCCAAATTCTATTAATAACTTGCCTTGATACATTTTTAAAGGAAAGCTTGTATTCAAACATAACTTTTCTTTTTATTAATATATATCACACTCTTATAAAATTAATTTATTGATGTTTTATTAAATTATTAATCTAATGTTCGCACACTTGCTTTTAAAGCTTCATCTAAAAATCACAAAATTCATCATTACCGACATAGTTTTTGTACACACGCGGGAAATATTTATTTCTTTTTCATAATCTGATTTTTTTGGAAGAGTAAATTCCAAGTCAGTCCTGAAATTGCAGGGATTTTCAGGAGTTTTTCAGGAGTTTTTCAGGATATTAAATTCTAGGATAATTTCAAGGATATTCAAAGATCTGGATATTCAAAGAGCTGGATTTCGATAATACATGTATAATTCCAAAAACAAAAAATCATACTGAAATGAATCAAAATATATTTTAAAAGTACTTCCGTATGGTAATGAAATTTGTAGAAAAAAATTTGATACCGGCTACAAAATAAAAATCTACAAAATTATTTTTGCATTATTAAAAAAAATTCATTTTTCTCACAATTGTAGCATGCATAACCAAATTTTGTCAACAACTTCGCATCCGATAAGCAAAGATATGTCGAAAATAATTATTCACATTGCGTATTACAAAAAAAGAAATTTTGTCGGACAGTATATAATAAATTCCTTTTGATCAATTACATTTGAATCCACTAATTTAAATATCAGACTTTTGAAATTAGAATCAAATTCAGTAACTCCGAAAAGAGTCTTGCATAAGTTTTGTTAAAAAGCTCCTATCCTCAAAGAGTTAAAACAGCATTGATCAAAATTAATCAATTATACGAAAAAAAAGCACATGAAGATAAGTTTTACCTTATAATTTCACAATTACTTTTCAATATCTTTCCCCTTAAATTTACGATAAGTTACCTGCACTTGGTCGTGTTTCTCCAAAGTTAAAAGTCGATGTAAAAAAAGCAAACGGAAAAGTGCCAATGCCGAACGACATATAGGAACCATCACCAAAACCAAAGCCGGGAAAACCGACATGGGCTTCTGGTTCTGACCTTTGACCGGCCGGGCGTGGCGGCACATTATTCCTGAAGCATAAATCATATTTTTTTTATTAAACTTATATTATTTAACATAATATTTATAATTTATAATATTCAATTTTGACAAAAAAGAAACGAATTGTACCTCGGGTCTTCATGCTTTGCTGCACCACGTCCATATAATGGAATGACTTTATCTTTGCTTATTGCAGCTTTGCATACTGGACAAACCTGCCTGGTAGGTCTGGTCTCTAACCACTGATGCAGACATGGCCAACTGTATAATATTATCATATATATTATTTAAATAAAAAATAGAGAATAATGCAGTCTTTGATATGCTATATTATTATAAAATAAATACCAAAACAGATGACCGCACATACTGACTACTGCATCTTTTGCGGTATCCAAACAGATATTGCACTCAAAAATTCTCTCATCCTTTTCTTTTTCCTCAGTAGAACCTGCAGATCCTGATGACTTAGACGAACCAGCTTGTTCCCTTGTCCTGCTCATCCTTTAAATATGTATATATTTAAAATTTAATAAATATTCTTATGTTTTAAACAATAAAAAACCTTTCAATGCATTAATACTATACAATTTTGAAACACTTTGCATATTTATTATATTATTTCTATTAATGTATATAGCTAGCAGTTACAATTAAGAATTCATAATTTACAAATATTAATATCATGTGATATTTGTGCAAACATATATTTATATGTTTATTGTTATAATTATAAATATGATTAAATATGGCTTATTATACAAATTATTATGTTATAAGACATAAGTTTGATAAAGATTACAAAGATTATCGAACATATTTGCAAGATTATACTATAAGATTTTTTAAATATCTCATATATAAATAATTTTTTGATAAAAATACCAAAACTTTTATGCACAGAATAATGAATCAACTGATAATAATATAATAATAATAACTTAATAATTATTGATAAAATTGATAATGAAATTATTAATGCATTATCAATTTTGTCATTTAATTAATGAACACGACAAATAATTTCTGATAAATAATTATTTTATCTTCTTCAATATTTAATATTGAATTTAATTTAAATATTCTTAAAAAATTAATCAATTAAAAAAAATTATTGTATCTTTCTTACTTATCTTACAAAAGTTCATCAAAGGACAAAAACAAATCCCCTCCCTATTCTTCTGTATCTTATGACTCTACTACATCATTCTATTTGTAAGGTTACTAAATTATTATACATATTTATGTGCAATTATACTATTTAATTTCTTTATTGAAAGAACTACGTCATCCTTTTGTATCTTTTTAATATATTATTCTAAATGTTTATTTCCCCCTTTTTATGAAAAACTCACTTGAAATAACAGATCACTTTATTTTTCTTACATTATTTCTCTTTTTTTCTTATAACCTCATTATATATTCTCAAACCCGTCCAAATTTATATGTATTTTTTTTCCAATCATTCCTTACTTAATATCTGTTTTCTATTCCTTTCATTTATTTACCTTTTACTTATTCCAACAGTTTTGCACTAAACAGGTTTTGTAATAAACAGTTTTGTAATAAACAGGTATATATTCGTAATAATAGTCACTTCTCACACATTCCCTTTCTCTCCCTCTCTCTCTTTCTCTCTCTCTCTCTCTCTCTCTCTCTTTCTCTCTCTTCTAACATTACGTCATTCTTATATTTTTCAACACACTTACATTAATATATATAACTATCTAATTCTTAATTTACATATAAAGAACACATATAACTTCTGCTGTTATTTAATTCGCTAAATTTTGTATTTCAGCAATTTTAAATATTTTATCGCGAAAAAGTTTTTCTCTCTCTCACTATATATAAAT